GAATATTTACAGAAATGTCGACAACTTTTTTGAAACCCAACATATTTCGTTGATCTTGCTACTTTATAGAATGTGCAAGTATGTTGATGTAATCGAAAAAAGCTAAAGCTTTCACGTATTTTGACTTATCTACTCATGCCGATATTAAAATGCAATAGTTTGTTCAGTTTTTAATAGATTGATTACAAAAACGAGTTTGAAGCACCAGTTATTTCAATAAATCTCTTGATACTTTCTATTCAGATCATTTTAACATGGACTTTCAGTATTTACATATTAAGTTCACAAGTATCATAGATATTGGATTTTATCTTTTCTAAGACATCGCGCAGATTTGTATATCAACATTTCAATAGATAAAAATGCTGATTTCTGCAATAAACATGATTTATTTAGAAGCACATTCACATGTAGCTATTCTAATAAGAACATACGCGAGTGTGTGATTTTTTTTATGCTTCTTGTTCTTTCCGGTTGATTGATCATTTGTGAAACAACTATAAAAAATGGGTCTCTGTCTTATAATTTCGTTCACTATTCTTTTTCAATTTAGAGGTACTCTTAAAGGTAAGCATCTGCCATTTTACTAGTGTAAATATCGTTTAGCTTGAATCTAACTTTATGAGCATCCACGAATTTTAGATAGAATCCGCTTCAAACTAACAACAATTCAACGACAAAGATATCACCATGTCTGCAACGAGAAATATTGATAATTCATTTAAAGCTTGAGTAGGTTTTCCTCTGTCAGATAAAATTGAAACATGGTTGTGAGACTGAGAAAAGTCGATGCGTGACTGCAAGAGAGGATTTCTTCAGTATAGCTCTTCTTTGTATCGTATCTGGATGTTATTGATAAAAAAAATAAGAACATTTATGATAGCCATTGCGTTCTACTGTGATATGAAATTTGCGAGCGGAACGACTGAACCAGTAAAAATAACGAAAGGAGTTTTCTTTTTGAAATATTCATGCCAGTAGTTACTAGCTTCTTTGCAAGGCTATTCAAGGAGCCATTGATTGGAACTGATCTTTGTTTTGTCGTTGTAGAATAATTATTGCTGACAATAAGAGTCTAAGAACAGTGTGCCATTAAGGACCCGATTCAATTTTTTATTGTCGGCAAGGGACATAGAACACATCCAGATGATCATCTACAATTCGCCTTATCCTAGACTAATTTATAGATTTACTTATGATTTCAATCATATTATCATATTATACTGAATTCTGTACAATGTCCCAGTACTTTTGTGCAGAAGTGATTAGCATCTGCATATTGCAAGACTTAAATCTGACTTAGCTATTTGAACAGTTATTGGAATATACACGGTCCAAACGCCATATGAAAAAACTCGATGTATACAATTTATGCACTTCTCACTGCACTTGATCATTCAAATAATACTTATATTTTCTAAAAACTCTTGAAAATCTACATTGTTCAAGATAAGGCTCAAATTAAATTAAATTGTACTAACAAAAATTAGTCCATACCACAAATATTGATGGCTACCGGCCGTCGCTATCACATATGAAGATCACCCATCAACATTTGTGACATGGGCAAACGTTTTTGCTAATATTTTAGTCTATGGAAGTCATACGCTCTAGGATGCAACTTTTCAAGAGCTTTCAGTATCGTCAGAGGCAAATTGCTAGAAATTGGTATATAAATTAGTAAAATGTGTTGCAGAAACTGCGCAGCTAGCTAGTTTTGTAGAAAAAACATTTCTTCATTTTTTGAGACGTCTCCGAACTCGAACGAACGAGTGGACGCAGCGAATAGTGCAAAATACTAAGAATCCATTAAAAAACCGATTGTTTTTGACCAAGTGTTCTGAGAAGTGTATAAGTTGTATGCATCGGGTTCTTGCCATAGGAAAGTCAGAAAGAGCTAATATTTTGGATTTAAAGTATTCTAATGATGGTCTACCGTTTGAAATAATTAAATCGAAGATCAAAATTTTAACGGCAACTGGCTTGGTGGTCCCTGTCACAGATTCTCTCTTATATGTCGTATACTTTGCCTTATAGGAACAAAATAAAAATATGAATAACTTTTGAAGGAAGCGCTATGTTCTCAAATTCTGGAGATATTCCATTGTAAGTTGGAATCAACTGTGAGATGATATCTCCCAGAATATATTCTAATCCTGATCTAAGATATCTTACGTTCCTAACTTACAAAACTTGAAACCCGAACTCAAGTGAGGATATTACACATATGCATGTATTCGAAAGACATTTCGATGATGGATATTGAAACTTGGAAATTGAACTGAATTCAAGTTTTGGATTATTGCTCGATTACTTCTTTCGTATTATTTGTATTATAAGGTTAATTTGTCAGCAAACAAAATCGAAAATGGTCAAACGATATATAATTTGTTTATTGAGTAATTGTGGCTGTATATAGTAAATCGAGTATTTGTGAAATGATAAATTTGGAAAAAGATGCTAATAACAGTACTATTGTTGCCATTGAACGTAGTAATAGACTAGGTGTAAAATATGGAATCGATCCAAATATTGTCGATAAATTGACATTAGAATATATTTTCGATGCAGAAGATTTCAATAAAATCATATTACCAGATCAAACAATAAATCAAGAACCAATTTATTGGATTATCTTAGATTGCGACACTGATACAATTCTAAAACAAACACAATCACGACCTACAAGAGATATTTGGGAAATACGAAACGCTTTAAACTACTGTCAGCAACGTTTTCGTCATTTGAGTGCTCATTTTGGTATACCGTTTGTTGATACAACACAACGAACATTGGAACAAGTTTATGATGAAGTACTTGATACCGTTAGAAAATATCAGACTATTATCGATATTATCGCCAAATGGGTACTCAAATGCTTAATTAAT